ATATTAGGTAAAAGTGGGTAAGCCTTATTGCCAACAAATACAAAAGGGAAATCTTCATTAATATTTTGATCAATTTTTTTTGGGTGCTGGCAAATCTAATTTATTTTGAATTAATTGTTTACCAAATAAGGATTCTTTGAAAATCCCACTACCACAGTACCACTAGACCGACCATAATCTCCAACATCAATTACAATAAACTTAGCGTGGCATCAACTACTGCTATTTCAGTAGAAACTAGAAAGTAGACTAAGTGAACTAAGCAGAAACTAGAAAGTAGTAAGTAGACTGTAGAGTGTAGACAGCACGGGCCTCGGCCACCGGGTGACCATGTTCCCCGTTGGCCTTATCATTAGTATCGAGTAGTGAGCTACCTATATATTTCCTTTCAATCGCGAATAACTTGATGGTAAGAACATTATCTATGTTTTGTTGTTTTGTTTTCAGTTTTTAAGTGAGTTATAAGCATTTTTCATTTACATTTATTATACACGCTATAACTTACTTAAAAACTGAATTATCGTAAAACAACTTCCAACAAAACACAGATAATGTTCTTACCATCAAGTTTCATAATAGATGGATTCACTCTAATTTTTAAGCTAACGGCATAAAACTTTAATTTTGAGCGTAAATTTGGTATGTTAAACGTATGTAAGACGTATGTAAGTACGTCCTCTTATAATTATGTAAGTTTGAAATTTTAAGGTAGTGGAATATTCGGTATGATTTCTTTTTACCATTTTCATTGATGTGTTCTGATTATTGCAATCATTTTTAAGCCGGTTTACCTATGCGTTTTCCAAAATAAAAAGTGTACTTATAGTTTTGGGGCATAATCATAATTTATAAATTATAACTAATAATTAATATAACACTTTTATAAAATAAACTAAAACTTGTTCAAGTAGATATTCTATTGGCATATATTCACATACTTTTAATGTATTATAAAGAAGATAATAAGTTCTACATTACACCTTTAGAATTTATTAAATTCAAATAAAACATAACAATAAAATATAACACTGATAAATTTATTTTTACTTTTATTATCTATTAAGTTGCTAATAAAATCAAACAGATAATTTTAAAATAACAGAATACTAAATCTTAAAAGTCTTATATCGGTTTTAAGCATAAATTATAATTTAATATTCTCTTGGGTACTATCTAATATATTAGATACTATATTATATATTAGATACGTAGTTATTATAATAACTAGGTACATTATAGCTGTAATAGTGTAATAAGAGTATTTTCTGTAACATCAGTCACTGTCTACACACAGCAATTATTTGCCATACTATACCTACAATTACTTACGGTAATATTGTGCCAATGTAAACAAGTGGTTATTTCTTATTAATCATTCTTTTTTTGTTTCGTGACGTTCGTGTGGATCATTATAAAAAGTAGGATCAACTTGTTGAAGAACGGTTATTGGCAAACACGTTTAAGACTACAGTGCAGTCTGTTTGCACATTACAATAATTGAATAATTAATAATATGTTTAATGTGTACTGTATATTATTAAATACGTACTCTGGATATTGGGTATGCCTAGGTACTTAAGCATTTAAGTTCATTAACCCTCGAACTAGCCGAGTGCCTTGGTTTTTTTTTCTGTTTAGAGTTCTTAGATTATCTATTACACGGAGATTTTGATTTTAATAAACATAAATAAAAAAGACCGTTTGCCGAATGAATAAATTAATATGAAATATTAATATGATAGAGTATGTACGTCATGGATCATGATTAAATAATGATTTCATAAAAACTATCCCTCCCATATCAATAATAATAGGACGGTACCAATTTAATAGTGGGTACCAACTATTATACTTATTACTTCTTAACCGAATTGCTTCTGCAAATCCTACCTATTTATAGATGTTTTTTTAATCATTCCTTTGCAATGTATTATTAATTGCAGATCATTTTGCAGAACACGATTGATATAATATTATGTTATAATATGTATTAAATATTAATATGTTATTATATTAATAACTTATTATAATTACTTTTATAAAGGTGTGTAGTAGAACAATAATAATTTATTAAAACATATTTTATACCTTTAATAATAGTTAATACCTACCTACTCTATAACTTTTAAAATGCAGAAACAATTTACAATTTTAAAATAGGTACTCATAACTTGCTTTGAAATTAAAATATAACTGGCATAATTCCATTAAATGTCAACAGGTACAAAACTTTTACTGACCCAAAAATCATAAAGAAAAATTAAGTTAGGTATATTTAAAATCTATCGCTTTGCTCGAGTGCACTATATTGCTACCTTGATAGGTATCTTTTAACTTTTTATATTTGATAACAATATAACATAATATACAAATATCAAAATTTGTATATTTTAAAAGCTGTATGTCTATTGTATGTATGACTGTATAAAAATATACAAAATATATCAAGATTATTAGAATTTACCGGTTTCCTAACATCTGAATTTATGAAAAAATGTGAGTAGGGGAAGTAGCGGACACCTGGGACACCTAACATTGATTCTATTTAAGAGGGTTAATATTTTATTTTATTTATAAAACTAAGATTCTTTATTATTATGTGTATAGTTAGGTACTAAATTTCCAATCAGTTTTGTTATATATTATTATGAAAATATATACTTACATTTTTACTAAATAAAAAAATTGATTTCATCATGGACCATGGCTGAAATAAGATGGAACATAGCCACATAGATCCTTATTCATAACAAATAATTTCCATTTCATATCATATATAGGTGATTAAATGTTGTTAAGGCTTAAAAGTATAAACACATAAAACTGATGTAGGTACATAAAAATTTAACAGGAAAATTATGCTTATAGTATTTAGTTTCATATCTAATGCCTAAATGATAATAGGTACCTATAATAGTTATATTTTCTTAAAAAAAAACATTTACTTTAGTATAGTAGGTTTTATCTCACAACAGAATAAATATAAAATCGAATTTAAAACTTTTTTTTTTTTATTGAACAAAATTTTATTTACAATCTGTAATTACAATATATATTACAATAAGTAAATGGGATGGAGATGATTAGAGGGAGGGGGGAAGTCACTCATTGGTGACACCCCTTAATTTAAAACTTAAAAATAAAAATAATAACATGGGACATGGATCATCTCGTTCTATTGTATTTTTCCCGTCTTACACCAAATAGTAATATTTTAATTTAACCTGTCTATTGTTCTTAAAACATGCAAGAATAAACTCTACAAAAGTCGCATTAATCGAAACCTTACAAACTAGAGGTTATATAATATATAACACGTCCCTGCCGGAACACGAACATCGTAAAACTATGTTTTATGCAGTAGCGTTATGCTTGGTAGGTACTTGCGATAATTTATTGTAACATCTCGAGGTTTTTTTACGAATATTCTTATCAGATAATAATATATTTACATATTGTATGCACGTCTTCTATAATAGACTATAGTAATGTAATAATAATAATATAATAAGTACCACAAATGGTGGCTCTAATTGTGCTAAACAAAAAAAAAATTGAAATTACTGATATTTCGTTTCACAGGTGTTTATTAATTTTTATTCCATCAAGGATGCTTAAATTATACAATATGGTTATTAACGTATTTATTTTATAGTTAATTAAAACTAATTATTTTTATAATTCACAATATCTACTTAGTACACATAACTATTTAGGCTTGTTTATGATACAATAATATCATTGATATGCATACGAGCATACCATTATATATTTCTATAATATCAATTATCATTTTCATTTGTTTTGTCTTATTTTGTCAATTAATTAGGCTACAGTTCTTAGGTTTCCAAAAGATTTTTATGACCAGGAAATATGGATGCAAAAGTCTAAAAGGGAAGAAGCATGGAATCGCAGTAAATATTGCATTTGTTCCAAACATTTCAAATCAGAAGACTTTGTGTCTTTGTTCGTGATTTAATATCTGTACTTAAGGGAAACAAAGCTGTAAAAATATTTTTTAATAAACATATTTTTTTTACACTTTTTTCTAAAACTACTGGGAATTTTCAATTTTGACCTCTCAAAAGTTCTAACTAGATTCATTTTCTATCAGAAAATATGTTGATGTTGAAGATCGGAGAATTTTTAAAACCACAAATGTCGATGACATATAAATAGAATACAATAAATAAATAAAAATACACATAGTTGTAAATACAATACATTCATTCGCTCCATTTTTTTTTGATAAAGGTAGTCAAACTTACGAGGAACCTTGTATTAAATTTTCAAATCTTAAATTTCTAATTCAAAGTAATATGCACATTTTTGAGACTTTACTTCTTTTGTCGAAATTCGAACTGTAAATGATTATAAATAAAATGATGACTGTATTTTTAATAATTTTCAACTGCATTATAATAATATGTTAAGAACATTGTATTAAATATTCAAGCTTTTTAACCCAACAACTAAATTATTTAATGACATTTTTATAAAAAAAAAAACTAAAAAAATTGGAAACTGACAATGTCCATAGGCGACTAAAAACAAGTGATAATATTATGATGTATAGAAATATTATTATTTAATAATATGCAGGCATAGGTACCTAATAATTAATAAATAATATAATACATAAATATAGTAAATATCTTATATAATATGTATTTTATAAATCGTAATTAATCAAGTCCGCACTTAATTTAAAATTGTTTATTATCTGTGTAACATCTATTACAATACGTATATATAAGTGTATATTTTTCAACTATGTTTAAAACTTACAGTGATGGACATGCCGATATTCAAAACCGTATTTCACTCCCACTTAAATCGAACGCTCTGTACTTTGTTTCCTTAGTCTGACCGTTGTGGGGGTATGATATATATAAGGCTATGCAGATACCGTAGTTTGTTCAGTATTCTCAGATATTTGTGATTTGACCAAAACTAATTTTTCCAGAATATTAAAATTGTATTCTTTAAAACTGACGAAAATGGCACATATTAACTTATTTGTTGTTCTGGTCGCGTCGCTGGTGTGCTTCACATTGGCTCAAGAAAAGTACTCAACTAAATACGAAAACTTTGACGTGGACAAGGTGTTAAACGACGACAGCCTTTTAACAAGCTACATCAATTGTTTGCTTGACGAAGAAAATTGTACAGAGGAAGGCCAAGCATTGAAGAGTAAGACATACGAATAAACATATTATATTTTAATATTTTAATTTTCAAGTATATTATACAATTAAAATTATAATGACATTGATTTAACTATCGGTACATTTAAAAAAAAAATTGTATATCTTATATCTATATTATACTTTTGGGGTATACTAGCTATAGTCTAACACAACTACTATTTATTATATGTATCAGATAAATATCAACAAACTTCCATTTGGCATAGGTGTAGTAATTATATTAATTTATTGTCTGATTAAACTTACAGGAGTTTTACCAGAAGCATTAAAAACTAACTGTGGAAAATGTACAGATGCACAAAAATTAAAAATAGAAAAAATAATGAAATTTTTGATCAAGAACCGTTCTACTGATTTTGATCGTTTGACTGCCAAATACGATCCATCGGGAGAATACAAGAAAAAGCTCGAAAAATTCTCCGCTTAAAAGACTGCAGCTGCTAAACATTAATTATTTTCATTCTTTATATCTTAAACTTTTTCTATGCACTTCCCGTTGTATTAAAACCAGTACAAAACGAATTATGTATTCCTGCCTACTTATGGTATTTCTATATTATTTAATTATATGATTATACAAATTTGATACAATAATTATAGTATTATGTCTCTCGTCTCTGTTAAAATAAATATTAATTATTAATGAAAAACTTGTCGTTATTTATGTTGTTACTAATTATTTTATGGTATTTTAACGATATTAGTTGTAGTTTCATGTTATTTCATTGAAATTGGAAGTATATCGAACACAAATGTAGAATGAGCCCAAACAATTTATTATTGCTAAAAATGTTATAGTGTAATACATTATGAAATGTTCATTGTAGAATTTAAAAATTTATCGGTCGCTGGATAAACTAAATTCATTATATTTCTGCGATAATGGTGAATCACATTTCTCGAATCTACTCTTAAATAAGATTTCTGCATTATGAACAGTGTCAAGTGTCAACATCTAAGCTATGAAATACACAGTCCACAAAACTATAAAAAGTCTTAAACATAGTTTCAATGTCTTTCGACCAACTTTAAGTATAGGTACGTCTGCTGTGAATTGTGATAATTGTAGGATAAATATTCGTTGGACGTTATTTTTAAATAATTCCATATGGTATCAGCGTAACCAATTATGTGAAAGAGTTTGAAAGTTGAAATTGAAGATATCAGTCAACGGTAATTATAATAATTGGCATTGGTTTAAGTTGAACTAAGCATATCTGTGGAATGACGCACCTTCCTATAAATAGGTGATTACTGATTAGTAACTAACTAACTAACGTAACTTTACAATAATCAAATGTTAATAGGTCCTCAGTACAGTTTCTGATTTTCTGATGATATTTGCTTTATTTCTGAAATAAATCCAAAATTTATTGCATCTACCAGAAATTTAATTGAAAAGAATCTCTAAGTTGTGTTTTATGGTAAGCTTTATAAGCTATGGACATTGAATTTGCACTTAAACTTTTTTTCAACTACACTCATTTCAATTGTATAATCATACTAATACTGATTGAAATGCTGCAGCTTGCAGAATACTAGTTCGTACTAAATTCTGTTGATGTTATATTTCTGAAAGACAATATTTTACAGTGATTGTTGTACACATCCCGTACGGCCGTACATTATTAATTACTACCTAGGTCTATAGTCAAAAATGCTAGATGTTTTTGGCAAACTTAGCTCCTCCTACAGTATTTATTTTTATCAATAATAAGATTATATATTTAAAACAAATATATGTTAATAAAAATGTTGATTACAATAATTACAAACACAGAATGACCCCGCTCAGGAAAGTCCTTGAGCAATTAGTGGCGCCTGACTTATTTCACGTATAGGTAACCTAACTTATACGCTTAGAACTAGGCAAACATGTTATGACCTCGACGACCATGATGTTTACAAGAATGGGAATTTACATCACATAAATTAGGGATGGTGTTTAGTTATGAGATGCAATGATAATCATATTCCACATAAAATCGGGGACAAAATCCTAGTGCCGAATCTTTAACTATTGAAGTTCCACTACGGTGGAGTCCATTCATTTATCTAGCCCAAAATATTACTAAGTATATTATATAATGATATTATTGCGAATAAAATAATTTATATATAAACTATTATCTTTAGCTATAGAAGTTCATCATTTTATACTACAAAATAATTATTACATTTTAAATTTGATATATTTTGTCAAAAATCAAACTTTAAATGCTTATAAAAATTGTGACTATGTATTTTTAATATATTTCAACTGCTATTTTAACAATTATAAATCAGGAGCCTATTATATTAAATTTCCATGCTTTTGACCCAAAAAATAAAATTTTATATAAAACGTAATTACACAGATCATGATAACATACGCGCATCAAACAGGTTGTACAATGTACATAATTATTATCTTCTACCTATATATAATATATATTATTTCTCACGGCGTTTTGACCAGTTTTTATATGGATAGGTTTGGTTAGATTAACACACGAATGAATTAAAAATTATTTATGACGCAAACGAAGTACTTTATAGATCAATAATCCTACCTACGTCATTCAGACTTTTTTTTATTTGTGTCGATCTACACGATAAGGAGTCGAAATAATGCTTCAATTTTAAATTGTTTTCCAGTGGGAATGTAAATCTAATTGGTGCATTGGAGAGGTCAACATTTAAAACTCCTATTTTTTTTCAAAAACACCAAGAAAAACAAAAAAAAATTAAGGAAAAACTGAAATCAAAGTTATCAGTAATCAGTTATCAAAATATTTTGGCTTGTTTTGATCTATTTACCAACATTTTCAGTTTCCATCTTTTATTTTTTTTTATATAAATGTCAATAAAATTGTATTTGTTGGGTCAAAAAGCTTGAAAATTTAATACTAGACTCCTACATAATAATAATATGACAATAAGAATTTAAAATTTTTAAATATTCGTAGTAACGATTTTTTTTAAATATTTAAAGTTTGAACTTTGACAAAATGTATTAAATTTAAAAATAATTTTGTAGATAAAAATTTATAAAATATTCAACTTTTATAGCTAAGGATTGAAAATGTTATACAAAATTCCATGTAACTATGTTATTCTGTTACAAAAAAATCTAAAAAATAGAAAAATAGTTTTTTTTTTATAGTTATTTTCATAAGAATCATAAAAATTTAAATTTAACACCATCCATTACTACAATGGTACTATATTGTTCTGTGGTACTACAGCTAATACCCACTTTAACCTACTGTAGAGCAGAGCTACTTCTACTTACCCGCGATTTTAAATTTAAACTTTTAATCGAAATTTTCTTATAGTTCTAGTTTCCACTGAGAAACCAGAATTTAAATGTTTTGTTATTTCACACGGAATACGGAGAATGGAGATATACTTGGGATAATATGTATATGAATATTGGATAAACTATCAATAAACTGAAAACTTTTGGGACACACGGTATGTCTGAAATCTGAATCTCTATCCATGTAACAATTTCCGAACCTGATTAAGAAAAAGAGTAATATATCTCTCATTTATTATTTAGAATTTTTAAAGCTACTTTTGACTGGTGTTGACGTATCTTCTGATGGTTTATTGTTATTAGATTACTATTATTAGATTCTGAGTGGAGTGAGGAGGCTACCTAGTTGTTTTATAATGATGTTTATTTTATCCTGTTAACAATATTTCTACCAGAAAGAGTAATCCAGTCGAAGAACTGATTCCATATATAGTATCTTATATTTTAGCAATTTAGATTGATATGGTATTTTAAAGAGGCCATTTTTCGATTTTCTCAATAGTTTTATAACGCCAGTTTTTAAATCACCATAGAAACGAATAAAATGTAAAAATTACCTAATTCCCACTAGGTTTATTATATACAATTAATAGTTACTTATTAATACACATTTATGATTCATAAAATTTCTTTTGTCCGCTCGGAATCGATATTTTATCGAATGAAATCATTGCATTGAAATCGAATACATTAACAATATCTACACAATCCTGTCCAAGGACCGAAGGGACGATTAACAAACTTCCACCAATGCTGATCTACTCCACACCGTCGCACTTACAAATACAATTTTAAATATTTTCATTTTCCTTAAATTGTTCGTTAAACAATTTCTTAAATATAGTTGTTTGTTATTTTGTATGTTATACAATTTGTATAGTATTAGGATCATGAAAAATCACAAGACAAAAATTAAAAAAGGTGGACAAGTATAGGTGTCGCTCTGCTGCACAGTAGGTCACAAGTATTTAATCACTGGATGGTGTTAAATTGGAATGATTATAGAGAATGGAATTTATAAAATAACATAAAATATTGCTTATTTTAAGATAAAGCACATCTAAATTACAAAATAATAAAAATCACACATTAACAAAATTAATAGGTAGTAAATAACAATTGAATTAAATAGGAATTTATGAACATAAATTAGTATTAACTAAACAATAATATGATGAATCATAACTTAATATAATTTTAGAAAAAGATGGTACCTACCTACGGTTACCGTTAAATAATAAAATCAGAGACGAAAAGGTGATTTATTTTCTATGACATACAATTATACAAGTCAAAATGTATAATAAATTAACAAAAAAAAATTATTGATACTTAGTATAATATATTATTATGACAAAATACCTAGTTTTTGTAAAAAAATGTATAATGTCACTTTAAAGCGATTTTTCATTACATGTTATTGGATATTAATTGAAAATGATTATCTTTTGGATAAACATTAATTAGGTAAATGGCCTCCAGGAAATGGCTGTACAAATTATTATTTATAAACATAAAAATTAATAAGTTTAGTTCAAACACCTGCGTTAATATAAAGGCAATTTAAATAATTGTTAAGTCTAATTATTAAGATTCATTTTGCTGCCATATAATCTATAATTACAATCCTTGACAATCTGTAGGTATAGTATATTACATACTACCTAGCTATTAGGTATATATTTTACTTTTATAGTTAGAGTTCTAAATTTGAAATATTTCACTTGAAATTTTTGAATTGAAATATTTCAATGAAATTTTTGAATTAAAATATTTCAATGAAATTATGAAAAATATTTTTTCTTCTTTTAAACTTGTTCGGTTAAAGATGATTAGAAATAATATGTTGATTACATACTTAGAAATAAAGAAAAACATATTTTTTTCTTTGATTTATTATTTTATATTTGTATATTCTATATTATGTAGTTATGAAAAATATCCCTGGCATCATTTTGAGAGTAAAAACATTTTTTATATGAGTTCTAAAATATTGTTGTATTCAGACTGTCAGCTATCCAAAAGTTAATGGTTTGATTTATTATGATTTATAAAATACATCTATAATGAAGGTACTATATTATATGTAAAATATTTATTACTATTATTAGGTACCTATGCCATAT